TCTCTCTCTCTCTCTCTCTCTTCTCTCTCTCTCTCTCTCTCTCTCTCTCTCTCTCTCTCTCTTTCACACACCATCGTCATCGCGCTCCATCATTATTTCTGTCGTCGTCGTCGTTGTCATCGCCGTAGTCGTCCGGATGGCGAGAAACGACCGTCGGACACTTGCCGGCCTTTCGTCCACCCCCGAGGGACGACGGCCGTGTTATCGCGGCCAAATCCCGTGGATGATGAGACTTTAGTTTATTGTACGTGCGGCTCGCTCCCCATGAAGACAAAGACACGCCGTTCTCTCTCCCTTCTCCCTTCCGCCGACGAGGTGGCGGAGAGCGGTTCTCTGATGCCCACGGATTTGCTTCTCTCCTCGTCGACGAGGTCCGAATCGAAGTCGCAAATCCTACTCCGCGCACGAGACTCGCCTATGAAATGAGATTCCTTTGAGAAAGGAAAAGAAGAAAAGAAAGAAATGGCTCCCGGTCGGTCTCGCCATCCGGGAACGCTGCAACGGTTCCCAGGTCTCGCGGGACTATGCTGCCTTTAGATCAACGGAATCTCATCAACTTGTTCTAAATTTCGATACTTTAACAATTTTCCGGAGCGGATGTTATAAATCTCACTGACTTTTAAACAAGTACTCTTTTAAAAAATTTATCATTGAAATAATTACTCTGAGAAGAGATAGAAATACGTCTAACTTCTGTAAAAGATCTTATTATTTAGATTCCCCGAATATATCAATAATGATTTTATAAACACCGTATCGTTTATTTTATTGAGACAATCGAGATCATTTTTTGAAATTTATTACACAAATGAAGATAGAAGATCATGGCAGACATATATAAAATGCCATAAGGGTTGGAGGGGGAAGCATTACGTAAGAAATAAAATCCGTACTAACATCATTCAACGTTACGTCGTACGTTCCTCCTTCCCTCGATTCTGCTTCTTATAGCGCTTTATCGTACATCCTAATCATCTCTCCCAAGTGGAAAGTCACGATAGACGGCACGTTGATGACAGCCGATGACGATGATGAAGGCGATGATGCCGCCGGTCGCCGATGGTGATAGGTCGAGCGTTAGAGGACGCAAACGCGGCAAGTGCTAATATCCAATCACGTCGCTTCCTCCGGCAGAGCGTTCGATCGGTTAATTTTCCATAATTAAACCGCCATAAAGTTGCCACGGCTGGGACTCGCTCGCGAGATTCGCGCCGCGGTTGGCTCGGAATCGATCGGAAGAGAAGGACTCGCTAATTATTCACGCTTGATGAGTCTCACGAAACTTATTCGAGAATCGATTTAATTGTGCATCAATTGAATTGTGTTTCCTTAAAACATATGGTTTTCCGCAAAATATTTCTCGCAACGGAGAGTAATTTTTTTCTTACATTTAAAAAAAAAATGATAAAAACCGCGAAGAAAGATTTGCGGAAAAGAATTGGTTTTAATCTATCGAGATGTCTTGAAATATCCCCAAATTTTTTTTTGATTGGTCCTTTTTGGAATTTTCGTTATACATAAAATTTCTTTTTATACATAGATTTCAGAAATATATAATTACTACGTTTGAAAACGTAGTTTGCATCTGCACTTTTTCGTCATCTTTGTCTTTATATATTGTATATCCATCTTTATTGAAATTTGTCAATTTTACGATATGCATTTGTAACTTACACTTACCGGACAACTCGCGTAAGTGCGTAAATTGTTCGCAGACGATCGGCGTGACGTAACGTAGGCAGTGCTAAACGCGCTCGCGGCAACGCGCGGGCGGGAGCCTAAGCTATACTTCGCACGCTGGCATGCTAAGCTATATAAATCTGAGCATCTTATGGCGGCATAAGTCTGAGGATTAACCGGCGTCCTCCACCGGGTACCAGCATCTCGCTGAACGTTACCACAGGATTGATCCCCCGCCGACTTTCTTTTCACGAAGGAATCCTCCTTCTCGCCTTATATCCGCGCCCGCGATATTTCTCTCCTCTTCGAACTGACGCGCCGGCGAATGTTAATTTTTCCGAGAGGCTATTGTTATTCGCCAAGACGTCCTGATTAAATCCATTATCCATCCTGCTGCCCGATCATCCGGCTTTCTTTACGCTCGTCGTAGTCCACAATTTTTACGAAATAGAATAAGTTGACTTACTATCGGTATACATTTCTAGAATAATTAAGACAAAAAAAAGTAATAAATATTTATTTAAAGGAAAATTATAAATAGCAAGGAACAAAAGAAATTTTTAAGGCAAGAATCTTTTTAAATTTTATAAGAAAAATTTAACTTGTACATACTTTTAAAATTTTTATATCGTTAACATAAATATTAAATTTTATTTGCAAGTTGTTAGAACAGCTCTTTGTTATACCAGGCACATATATAGTTTGGAGCACTAATAGTAAAGAAGATTTAAATGGCGAATATATCATCGGAGCGAAATGGAGAATGGACGAATATTCCCAGAGGATCTTTAAAAGCCATTTGCGGCTCGGGGCGAATCGTTGATCAACTTTTGTCTGTTTCCATCTTTGAAGGAAATGGCTGTTTGGTATTCGCGTCGATCTCGAGTGGATCGCGAGTAACTGATGGGGTGGCGATGTGCGTGAGAGAAAGAGAGAACAGTGGGGGGATACAGGTTTCCCGGGGGCAGCTGATGAGGTATTGATGATAGGATCGCGTCAACACCAGCTGAGCCAATTACACGCCTAAATCTCCGTTCTCTCTCTCTCTCTCTCTCTCTCTCTCTCTCCCTCTCGATCTCCCCTCTTCTCTTGCTTCGTGGAATTACATATCCCTTGCATTTATTTGCTTTTACTCTAATATCTACCGATAAAATTAACTTGCGACACATCGATAAAAGGAAACATAGAACAAAATATGTTTTTTTTTTTTTAATTTTATGCTATAAAACTTTATCATATATTTTATACACGATGCACATATGAAATCTATAAAGATATGTGTAAAAAAATGATAAATATGAAAAATTATTTTCAGAATATTTCTTTTTTAATTCTGAAAAAAATTCATATTTGTAATCGATAAAACTACGAGTTTCTTTCTTACGATGCAGTCCCCTGACTGCCTTTTCGAAAATTACGAGTGTTTTCGAAAAGCATTTTTGTATTCTAGATTACGTCCCTATAAAATACCTGTAAAAATTCGTAACGCGTTTATCTTCTCACTTTCGCGCTCGTAAAGTCAAAAATCTCGCGGCGCAAAGTCTCAAGCCGCGCCATTGTCAGCCGCGCGTTTCTCGGATTGTTCGCGAAATATCGCGGTAATCGCGCGCGACAATATCGTTAGTCAAGTCGTCGGCCGGGGGTCGTCGCCGAAAGAGCGAGGGGAGGGGGGGAGTTTTTATGGTAAAACCCGCGGTAAAATCGGCCTCCGCGTCGATACCTTATCTCACGCGGCCGCGCACGATTCGCCCGTCACTATACCATTTGGCTATCTTTTTTTTTTCTTGTTTCAGGTAAGTGCAGCCCGCGACGTTATCAGCCATTCAAAGTAGTAGAATGTCAGCGCGTCTTCGTCATCGACGGCTTTATCTTTACCGCCGTATGCGCGTACGTTCGTAAGTAGGTGGACGTGATGCGTCTTAGACGAAGAGCGATAAGAAGCGCGGCCGCGCCCTCGCGCGCCTGCAATAATGCCGTATATGAAAGCGGACCCGCGAGGAAAATCCTCTTTTATATCGTCCGTAAGTTCTCGCCGCGGCCGATGCGAAATTCCCGTCAACCGGCAACGTTCAATTTTACTCGACGATCGGAAGGCTTCCCGAGAGGGGACTTCTCTCGGTCATTTTTCTTCCCTCTCCTTTCGACGATTTGTCAAATGTCCATGTAAACAATCGGAGACTAATCTCAATCTCGCAACCTCTCATCGTGACGAATATTCTCTTAAAAAAAAAAAAAAAAATAACAAAAATCTCTTTTGGCTCTAAAATTTTTTTATCGTGTGCGTTTAAAACCATAAAACTTTTGAAAAATTTTTTTTTGTTTGCAGTAGTTTTCAATGTAACATCGAGCGTGTCGTCCGATGGATAGTTTTGACTTGTAAACTGGCATATTTTGTCAAGAATAAAAGGATAGGTGCAAACGTTTTTGCTTTTATATCGGCTGCCGATTAAAATTAATACGACTGCGTTCGTTACATTAAAAATTTGTCGACGTAATCGCGCGTTAATCGAAATCGCGCGATACTTCTGTATCCTGTATTTGTATGCAGTTATGTTTGACGCACGAAGCTTCGGGACGCAAACATACGTTCCGTATTCCTGGTGGCGTTTCGGGTGAAGAGCGACACGCGCGCGAAGGGGTGGCTATTTGTCGCGACGCGGTTCGCCTCGTCGCCCCCGAATAACAAACTGGTAGGAAATAACAAACGCGTCGCTACATTGAAATAGCCTCGACGGGTCGTATCTCACGACCAAGATAGAAGGGTGGAAGGAAAAGAGGGTGCCCGGGAGGAGGGGGGGGGGGGTCGAAGGAAAAGAGAGAAGACAGGAAGACGGCCCGGATGAAAGAGAGAAGCGGCGTGCTCTTCTCTCGCGAAATCGCCTCCCAAATCTCGCGTGAAAATTACCCTATTGTGTTGGGTGCGGCCCAACCGTTCCCTCCTCTTTCCACCTTCCCCCTCCCCCTCCCCTCCACCGCAGCGACCTCGTATTTTATCCCTCGGTTACATAATCGGCTTTTTGTTTCACGTTTTTATCCCCGATGCGGATCCCAACCCCCGAGCGAGCGCCGCGCGGCTACCTTTTCGCCGACCGGGTAGAACTGGTCGGCGAGATCCGAGGGGATGGTGAAAAAGTGCCCGAAGGATATCGTAAACCTTCTCTGCCCACTTCCTATTCTTCTACCGAGCGCGCTCGATTTGCTCTTGAGCACCTCTTCATGGTTCACGCGCCGTCTCCGAAGACGGCCCAGTCTAAATCGACCGGCGACGAGCTCAGTTTGCCAAGGAACAAACCACCGGCTTTTATCTTTCGAGGTTAACCCTTAAACCACCCGATGTGTCATTATCCATTAATTCGAATATCAGGTTTTGACGATTTTACAAGTATATTACAAAAATAAATAATTGTATGTTATAGAAATATTCAAGGTTATAGTTATCAAATGTTTCATAATTACTTAATAATTAACGCGATGTAATTAAAGAAGAATCGCTATTGTAAATTGAGAATGTAAGAGACATTTGTTTGATTTATGTTATTTTAATTTTAAACGAAACTACGAAAGCTATCTGTCGATTATTGATTACGACAAAATCGCGGTGAAATTTCCATATTTCATGATAATATATACGAAAAGGATTTGTCTTATTTCAGTCTGCTTCATCGGCAAATCTTGCATCGGATGATTATTACGCGATCTACAAAAAAAAAAAAAAAAATAGGCGAATCTCCCCATTCGCGGTAGCAGCATCTTTCCTCGTAACGAGCATCGTCACCTTGATCATCCGCCTATCGAATATCGCGTCCCAATTAACCCGTTTTAACGACTCGGCGTTCGCCCTCTTCTCTCTCTCCCCCCCTCGTCACATTTCATTCCCCTCTTTTTTTCATAACCAGCCCGCTGCACTCGTACCGAAATGTCGAAAAAAAAAAAGGCGAAGCACCGCTCGGTCATTCGGTACATAACGTTGAGTGGTAGTCAGGTATTATCAGGGGTTATCGACGTATAGTCCGTGAAAGGGTGCGGACGGGGGGGTGGCGGGGGAGATCGGGGAATGGGAGAATGGATGGACAGAGAGGCCGATGTGGACCATATGCCGCCCAGTATGCTCAACACTCTCTCACCGGGACAGTCCAGTCCTCGACTCGAGGCCTCTCCTCTCTTGTTCGCCATTCCCCCTTTTGCTCCATCCCTCATGCCGTCCTTCCTCCCTCGCGACACCCCTCGCCCTCTGACCTTCTATCATCATAATCGATATATTATACCGCGGTCTGTATTTTATTCACGTGTCACACCGTGGAATGCGTTTGTTCGGGATATTGTGCGCCTCTCCCTCCTCCCCCATTCTCTTTTTCCCACCCTCTTCGCTTTTTTTTTCTCCGCCGGTTATTTGATCGGCGAGATCGCTTTTTTTTTTTTTTTTTCGTTGCGGCGCATTTTTCGAGATACGATTATGACGCTCGAGACCATTGCGAGTGGTTGAATGTAGACGATGTCTGGCGTGGGGATAATAACGTGGCTCTCTATCAACTTATATAATTCTCATAAAATATGAGATTAAGTATGTTAATTTGCGGACAAATTAAATCCAAATAATTTTAATTAAAAAATGAATATATCTTTTTCGCAAGTATATTACATAATACGTAATAATAATTAATATAAAGCATAAAAGGACATGATATAAAAATCTATATAGCCACTTAAAAAAAAAATGCATATAGAAGTCATAGTTATTACCTCTTTTCTGATGTTGAGTCTTTTGCTTAATGTGCGATACACATTTAATTAAAAATGTATAATATTATGAAATAAATAGCATATGTATAGCGCGCGCAAATGTATTGTTGTAATATTAATAATTTTTAATTAATTATCTTTAACGATCGTAATTATATATATTTTTCTGGCTCGGCCTCGTTGACCTTGTCCAGCTGTGAAAACTCATCCCTTCGTTATTTCAGCTTTTCCTCATCATCTGTCGGTACTACAAGTATTCTTGTGCACAAAGTTTCTTGATTATACCAGTAACCAGTGACGTAACAATAAGTTCGGAGTTCGTCAGCAACAAATCAAATCGTCATCTTTCTCCGCGGGGATACAAGTAGTCCAAACTGAGAGAGAGAAAGATAAAAGTAGAGGAGAAAAAGATTTGTCAGAGCGTCTCACGTCCTTTTATTGGGAAACTTGCTTATCTCGTTTATCGCGCACGAATTGATACGCGAAGGGGCGGGGGAGAGGGAGGTCAGCTAATGTCGCGTTAATTTACAATTTGCGCGACTAGCGCGACGAGTCGCACGAGGAAACGTCGATATCGGCCATCTGCCGCCGATTCACTGCGGTCATCCCGCATAATTCTCTGCGGTTGTCGAAATCGTTCACTATTATATCCCGCTTGCGGCTGTAAAAACCGCGGCGGTTAATTGTTTTTTGCCTTCCCTCGGAGGGGGGGGGGGGAAGGCCGAAATAGATTACGCATGCCAAGTTGCGTTTTTGTCAAAGTATTTCATCGTCGGTGTTATAGAATCGCGAAAAACTCTTGCGATAATCGAAATTGTGAATGAATGAGAGCGTGAAAAGCAAAACTTTCAAATAACACGAAAGCGGCATCTCCGTTTACAAAATTATTAGCGTAACGCTATATTAAAGTTATTAATAATAATGCGATTATATATAAAATTGTAAGCTTTTAATATTATTTTATATCAAAACTCTGCTATGTTAGAACTTCGAATTATCAGCAGCACGTTGTATTCAAATTTCATATTATTAGCATTGGACTGTATGACGAAATTCTTTAACATCACACATATTATCTTGCAATGAAATTTTTTTTTGCCAGTTTTGCTTTCACCTTTATTACAATTGAACTTGACGTCATATCGAACTTTCGCGTTGGCGCCCGCCATCTGACACACTCTGGCTTATCACTCCGGGTAATCTGTCTTATCATCGACCACAACCTCGGCCACGTTTGCACTTCTGTCGTCATCGCGAAACGCGCAGAGTCACCGTCACCGGGAAACTGGTTTGCCTTAGGTTTATTACGAACGCGCAAATGTTTCGCAAGGATCGATTCGTTTAACCGGCGAGGCGTAATAAAATCCGAAGGGGCTTTCGACGAAATCGTCTACCTACATACATTGTGCCTTCTGCGATCAGTGTGCACTCCCTGAGCTTTGTACTGGGCCGGACAGCTGCCCAGAAACACTTCTCTTCAATCTCTCGCCTTCCTTTCTCGCTCTATCTCTCTCTCTCTCTCTCTCTCTCGCGGTTTGTTCTGCCACCTCGAGTGTTCTCCAATTTCTCCTTTTTCATCACTTTTATTGGGCCACGACCACTGTCGTCAATTGAAGTCCACCCGGGTTTATGGACGCGGTGCCATTCAGTAGGCAGGAAATGCCACGGCCAATCCTCCTGCGCAGGATCGCGACTGCTGGAACTCTTTCACGGGCGCTCGCGAGCTCAATTGGAATCATAAATTATCGCCGGGGCCGCGCCGGGGTGTTGTATCATTGTGAATTATCGGCGCGGCATCATAAATGACTCCCAAGAAAGAAACGCACCAATCTCGAGTTTCGAGATATGGACGAAGTGTCCGAGTAAGATGTTTCAAGCGAAACGTGACCGGAGGCGATTTATAGAGTATTAGGAAACGTATCTTCGTTGGCTCGACAACGACAACGAAGCACGTAACAAAGTGTATTTTGTGTATTTTAATACACGCTCGGATTACATGACAGATAGAATAGACATTCCCGGCGTATTGTGTAATTAAACGATATTTTTCCCGTTGCATTGATGGAAATGAAAGAAATATGTATCTCGATGATTTTCCGCGCTTTTAAAAATATGACGTGCTCATCTATCTGTCAAGAGTCTTAAATTTTGATATGAATATAAA